GTCCCTGCCGCGGAGCAGCAGCTTTAAGCCGTTTATGGAAATGGGAGTCTTCTCCCTAGCTTGCTCTGAGGACCTTATGGCTAAGGGCAAGCAAAACTCGGGGGCATCCAAACCACAAACCTCTGGGCTTGGGCCTGCAAGTAGGATGCCTGCCAAAGGTTTTGGAAACATCTGAAGCCCCAGGTTGGGGTGGAGGATGTTTGCCGGTAGTAGGGCCACTTTTGGGTCTGGACTCTTGAATTTGGAATGAGTGTTGGCTAATTTGGCGTCAGATAGAAATTAAGTTTAAAAAAAAATTCAAACCCTGGCAGGGTTCTTTGGGTGGATGTGATATGTTTTATTAGACCAACTGAGTAGTTGGACAAAAGTTCTTGACAAACTTGAGCGCAGTCATCCTTCTTCAGGCATAGGGAGTCTCTGCTGGTCTGAGCTCTCCAAGGAACAAAATGGCTAGAACCAAAAACCCATTCGAATCCTGAGTATCCGAAGTACCTGGGGGCATCCAAGCCCCAAGACCTCCAGGTTTCGACCTGCACAGAGGATGCCTGCCAGTGGATTTGGGAGGATCTGAAGTTCCAGGGTGATAGGTCTGGAATGGAGGATGCTTGCCAATTGTAGCACCATGCACAGTGTTTAGAAGCACTAAGTTCTGCTCAGTTGATGTGATTTGGAACTGATTTGGCTAATTTGACCTGGAACATGAAATATTCTTTTTAAAAAAAAACAAAAAACCCAAAAGTCAGTTAAGACTCCCTGAGAGTGACTTGGGTTTTGCATATAATGCATCAATTAGCTGCCTCAAAAATGATTGTAGGTTTTGAACACTTACTGTTACAGTATTGATTGTACATGGGTTGAAATTATGATAATTATTTTACACTTGGCAACACTGGCTTGGACCCTGGTGATGCTCTTTTCTGCTGCCAGCAGGCGTTGCTGCCACCCATGTGGGGTCAACAGGTTGGAAATCCTCTTGTTCCCCATAAAAACCCAAGCCACAGGGCCCTGCAGTGCAAGCCTCTCTGTTCCTGCGAGAACATGCCTTAAGCCTTGACCTGGGAGCTAAGAATGAAGGCAGCAGTTCACAAACTTTCTAGACCTCTTGAGGCTCAAGATGCCTCCTGGAAAATGCCAGCTCTTGGCTCACCTTTGTTTTCTGACTCTGGACAAATAATAGAGCAATACTTGTGTTGCAGAGGGCTCAGAAAGGCCCCAGCGGGTCCAGATGTCTCTGACACTATGAAGTCTCTGGCTTATCTCGTGTATCCCTCAGGTGCCTAAGAATGAAGCTGTTGTGCAGTGTCCTACTGGATCTTTAAAAGGATCATGTGGCACCCTGGGGTGTTGCTATGCCATGGCTGAGAGTCACTGAATTAAGGACTAGCAGAGCCTCCAGAACTGCTTCAGTTCTGGGCATCTCTGATGAGACTCTTAAGAAAAGGGAGAACTGGTGCTAGGTGAATGTTTGCCTTCTAGGAAGTAAACAGAAATCCCATGGTTCATTTTGCAGTCGGATAACTCCTCCTTGTATTCCATTTCCAGCTGCCTATTTACTCAAGATGCCTTTCACTTAAGAGGCCTCCAGCTCCCCCTCCTCTTTTCCCATGTCAGCTCGCTCCCTAGAACGTAGCAGGAAGACATCCTGTAATGACACCCATGATCACAAAAGTAAAACGGCAAAAGATGCTGCTTGTCCAGCTGCTGCTGGTATAGTTTCTGTTTTGAAACAGTCTAGATCAGAGGTTCTCAACCTGTTTGCCATAGTAGGCTACACTTGTAGCTCTCAATGTGGTATGTGGGCTGCATCCACATAACTTATGTCCTGTGTATCCAGTTAAAAAATGTTTTAACAGGATGTCACTTGGGCCACATTGGGCTGTATGCGAGTTGAGAACCACTGGTCTAGAGCAGGGGTTTTCAACCTTTTTTAGTAAGTGTACCTCTGGCAGCCGGACATGAAGCGGGGTGGGGGCATGGCTGGACGCAGAGTGGCAGCAGCACAGGGTGGTGGGTGCGTATGAGCTGCATACAAGCTTCCCTCCCACCCCCTGCGTCCGGCTGGCTGGGTGGTGCCTATGCAGCCTGCAGAGAGGTGCCGCTGCCCTCACCCCCACTCCCACCCCAGGCCCTGCTCCTGGGAGGCGGCGGCACTGGGTGGTGGTGCTCCAACCCTGCCTGCCCATGCGTATATCCTAGGGTCTTCCCAGGTACCCCCGGGGGTACATGTACCTCTGGTTGACAACCTCTGGTCTAAAGAAAAGGATTGTGCAAACTTTTCTTTGCCTTTAAAGCAACAAGGGAGTCTTGTGGTCACTGGGAAGAGAGAGGATGTTTCCTCCTGTGTTGGTCTGCATTTTAACTTATTGATCTTTCCACTTATTGAACTTATGGAAACTTACCACTAAACAGCTGCTACTGAAGATCATGCACAACCTTGTTCTTGAGTAGTTTCAGCATTGACATACATAAGTGGGCATGTTGCCAAAAATAATAGGTGATTTTTGAAAATAACCATTTATTCTGCTCTGAAAAATAGCCTTGTGGGACTCCACGTTTATATTTTCGGCTTTAGAAATCACGACTTTCTAGTGAAATCACTTGTTGATTATTTTTTTGTATGTTTGTTTTCATTGTTCCCTAACTGGGCACACTGCTAACTCAGCTACAGCACTGACAGTCAAGCTAGGTTTGTTCTGGTTCATGCATTGGTATGATTCTGTTAATGATTAGCCATCTAGAATGAATCCATAACTGGATTGCTCTTCAGAGTTCAGTTGACTCTATGTGGCATATGGGTGAAATGCAGTCGCAATTCAGTCACTGGAATAAAGAGATATGTCTCAAAATACACCCAGGGAGTATTAGTTGGTAGACTAGTGCTTTGTTAGAACAATGGGTTTTAAAGGACATCATACTGTTAGTAGAGGTGCATCAATACATCGGTCTGATATTGGATCGGTACCGATATAAAGAAAATTGTCTGTATCAGAAATTGGCCTGATATGGCCAATAATTTGGCCGATAAACGGCCTGTGCATGTGCGTAGGTGGCGAGGAGCACAGTGCAGAAGCTTGGAGAGTTGCTTGCAGCTGGTAAGTCTGTTGTGATGGAAGGGGAGGGAAAGGGTGTGGCATGGGGAAGATCAAGGCCCCTGCAGTGAGGGAGGAGTGGGGCTGGGGCAAGTACTGCCCAGCCACCATGGGACGGTGTCGCAGCTTGTCATGGGGGCATGGTGGGAGGGAAGGCGGCTCCCGCTGTTGCGTGCCGCTTGTCCAGGAGGTGCTTGTCTGGCGGCTCCCGCTGCTGCTCCTGCTGCTTGTCTAGGAGGCCATGGGGGGGCGGGGGGCATGTGCCTCTGGATCTGTGCAGGGTGTGGTGGGCTGGGCCTGGCGCTGCATGGGGCTCTTCCCAGCCCACCCCATCCTGTGCAGATCCAGGGGCACATGCTCCCCCATGCCCTCCCGGAGCAGTGGTGGGACCAGTGGCGGGAACCACCAGATAAGCAGGCAGGTGCCAGATAAGTGGCTTCCAGACAAGTGGCACACTGCAGCAGGAGCTGCCACCCCCCGTGCCCTCCTGGACAAGCCGTGGCTCCTTCCCATGCCCTCACCCCCCACCACAGCTGGGCAGCACTTGCCCTAGCCCCTGCCCTAGCCCCACTCCTCCCTCACCGCCGGGGCATTGATCTGCCCCACCATGCCCCTTCCTTCCCCCCTCCCCTTCCACCACAACAAACTTACCAGCTGCATGCAGCTCTCCAAGCTGCCAGGCTGGTATCGGAAATCGGATTGGTATCGGCCAATATGCCTCTTTAAAAATCAGCTATCAGTGTACCCCTACCTATTAGAGATGGAGTGAACTCTTAATCCTATTTTGGTATCCACCATTGCAGAGCTAGACTAGATTCACGGTAGTCCACTCTGAGATTAATTTGTTTTCAGATGGAAATTTTATTTTGGCAGTCTATAACTGTATTTGCTGTGTTCCAGCTCTGTAGGACACTTCTGGTTTAAAAAAAAAAAGTACAGTCCAAGAGCCTGATTCTGTTTGAAACACTTGTGTGCGACTGTAATGAGTTTTTCAGTTTGATGTTTACAGTGGGAGACTTCTGATTCATAGATTCCAGGGTCAGAAGGGACCTCAGTGGGCCATCTAGTCCGACCCCCTGCCCCTGGCAGGCAAGAAAAGGGTCACCAAACCTGGGGTCATGTGATCCCAGCCAGGTGCCTGTCCAGTCTCCTCTTGAAGACCCCCAAG